GTGTTGTGGGGGATGGCATTTTTTTTTTTTTTTTTATTTTTTTTTTGCGCTCTATTAGGATGGCAGTCTGGTTGTAGCTTAGTAATGGCCGTCAACAAAGCCGTTCTGTCTGTGTTGGTTACGCTCCCAAGTATCGAACCATTAAAGTCAGAGCAAGAGGACTTCTTAAGGCGTTTTATTTTTGGCAAAGATGCTGTGGCCTTCTCCCTACTGGGTTGTTTGCAGCACATGCAATTTCTGCTAAGCATAACGCAAATGATAGCTATTGGGTAAAATCACATCCAATTGTTTAAAACCTCAACAGTGACCACGCCTCCAGGAAATAATGGTTTCTCAGTCACTGAGGGTCCAGACCGTCTGGATGAAATGAAGCCCAAAAGAAAAGGCTGATCTTTACTAGGCTAGCTTTGGATTGTCATCCTGCTCAAAACACCAGACGCCCCCAGACTTGGATTTTGTGAGATCCAGGTCACAAAATCATAGTCATACATTCTTCTAAAAAACATTGTGTTAGAATAACTTTTATGTTTGGTCAGCAGTGGTTTGCACCTTGGGATTCTCCCACAGAATCATAAACACTGACCTTAGCTGAAGTAAGTGAGGCTTGTGAAGCTTTAAAATTGTTCTGGGTTCTTCTGTGACGTCCTGGATACTTTGTTTATGCCGTCTTGGAGCCATTTTTGTGAACTAACCTCTGCTAGAGGGTTCACCACTGTTCCTGGAGTCCTAAAGCCTTAAAAATGACTTTGTAGCCAAAGACAATCTTTGTAGACAATCTTTGTAGATTGTCTACAAAGATTGTAGATTGTCTTTTTTTTAAATTAAGAATAGGTGGATTTAATTTAGAATAGGTGTGTGGCTTTTTAAAATTCTTTTTAGCCTACTTTACATATTCTTGCAGGTTCTACTGAGGTAGACGGTTTATCAGGTAGATTTTCTTTAACAAATAATATCATAATTTAAAAGCAGGTAATTTATGTGTGATTATAACATGACAGGAAAGCTTTAAGCGCAGCAGAAAATCAACAAAACTAAAGAGGCCTGTAAAGAGGTTAATACTCTTTACAGTATTAACTGTGAAAGAGTTCAAACACAGAACTCTTTCACAGTTCTGTGTTTGAAACAGATCAGATTGGTTTGAGCGGAGGACCTGAACTTCAGGGTTAAGTGTTTGTTCTAACATGTCTGCCTCTCCAGCTTCTTTACTCCCTTTTGGCAGTCATACGCTGAAAAGAAAAAAAAAAAAAAAAAAAAAAAAAAAAAATTGGGGAAATTTTAACACCCAAACCCCACTTTTACATTTTCCAAAAAATTTTTTTTTTTTTTTTTCTTTTTTTTTTTTCTTTTCAGCGTATGACTGCCAAAAGGGAGTAAAGAAGCTGGAGAGGCAGA